AGCCTTCTCTCTATAACTTCATAAAAATATCATTGAACTTCTTTGTACAACTTCTATGTAATGTGAATACTTTGGTGAGAGCTTATGTATTAATTCACATGGTGACATATTTTTATGATGATTGCTTTTAGGAAAATGTTTTAAATCTTAAATATCATGTATTTACATAATCAGGAAACTTCTTTACTATTCTGTATCTTATCGAGAACAGCTCCTGCCCAAAGTCACAATTTTAGCCTGGACACGATGGTCCTTCGTTGTCTAAACCAAGGACCCAACTTGAACTTGGGGCAAAAGGCTTAGTCATGGCAGGTTATAGGAATAAAGATTTGGGGCACACATTTGCTGCCAAGTAAGATTGCTCCTCAGACAAACAATAAATATTTGTAGCAGAATCTGGAGTCAGACATGCGAGGTTTAAATCTCAAATAACTTAATTATTTGATCTTTGTTCAATGTGTATAAAAAAGCACATAATAATAGTAATACCTCAGGAGTTGCTGGGAAGAGCAATCATGCCCAATACCTATTAATTATTGTCAATATATTGTCATAGATGATTTAAAGTTATTGATAATATCATGGATAACGATAATTTGGTATTACTAGTATTACTCCTACTACACCTCCTCACTCTTAGTGTGTTTCATTCCCCCCACACACAATTTTCTGTCAACTATTAAGAAAAGTGATTAATTTATACCCATTTAACAAATGTAAATATTAATGGCACTTAGTGTTAAAATTTATAGATCATGGTTCAGAGACGTTATCTCACTTTGAACTTTCCCACAGCTTCAGAGGAAAAATGGGGTTATTATTATTCTTATTTGAGAAAAAAAAAAGAAAATTAAGGTTCATGGAAGTTTAGTGACATGGTCAGACTCTCACAGCTTATAATTAAGAACAGAGATTAGCTCTTGCAACTTTGCCTTCCTCGCTGCTATGCATAGAGACTCCAGTAGTAAAGAAACTAAGGCCAGAAAAATGTTTTTCTTGTAAGTTTCCATAATACTCTCAAAAACTCAGTCATATGCTAACATTGTAAAATATCAACGGGGTTGTTACCCACTTACCGTAGTCAAATACTGAATCCTGAAGGTCATCTTCATTGTTTAGTCTGTTGTGATTATGTCATTTCATCACTGATGTAACAATTTTTGCTTTAATAAAACCCTGCGCTGCCCCACCAGAAGCAAAAACTTTTCCAGAAATGTAAACAGCAGAGGTGGGAAGAGACGAAAAGAAGCTGTTTTCTTTCACAGAAGAGCAGCGGGCCTTTTGCTTCACGTGGGGAGACAGAAAGCCATCCCTTCAACGTGTATGCTTGCCTCTGAGTGAAATGTTTTCCATCTTCACATATGGCCTTAGTATAAACGAGTAAATATTAGGACTCTAAGAATTTAGAGGAGATTGATAGCAACAAAGCATATTATTATATAAATTTGCTCTGTTCTACCTGGGTAAGAACTCCAGGTCCCCAGACAGAATGTGACTTAGCTAGTAACCTTTGGGTATAGTTCACCATTATACAAATGCCTAACAATTTCTCATGGATAAAGTATAATTCTCAAGTGGAGGAGGGAAACAGGGAAAGAGTAGCTATCTCAAAGGTAAGAATGTTAGTTTTAGCGGCAGACTTTTCGCTCAGTAGCCTCGAAACCGAGAGTGATCACTTCCGCCCCTTCTGTGGCCTCAGCTTCTGTCTTCAGATCAAGGGGGTCATAGGATGTGTTTATATATTTTAGAGTTGTTAATATAAGGTGAGATAACATAGGGTTGAGAGTCCCAAGACTTTCTCTTTTAGCTTTTTGGATTGTTTTGGGGTTGTTTGTTTGTTTTTTAGCCAAAATGTAATGCATGTTCCTTGTAAACAAGAAGAGGGGCAGAGGGGGAAGGAGGAAAACAAACTAGCAAATTTATTTAGAATCATACATCTCTGTATTACTGTGATGTTTAGAATAATAATAGGTATTATTCTTAGCACAAGCAATGGCAAAGGCCAGATGACTATGGATAAATCACTTACTCTTACCCTTTCTTAATCCACGAAATAAGAGATCAAACTAGTTTATTTTTTGACAAAATGTCATATTTATACATAATTCTCCAGAAGAAGTCACCAGAAGACTTCTTAAAATGAAAATAAATATAGTCCCACAGTTAATTAAAATGGATGTGAAGAATGAAATGTCAAACAGGACATTCAGAAAGTAAATGTTTGGTGTTTTTCAGTCAAAATTGATTAAAAAGAATGATTTGTGAAACGTAAATAAAACTCAATTTTAAAAATCTCAATGAGTTTAAAAAAGAGACAAAAGCAAGCTTATAAGCAAGTCAGGATTCTGTCTTACAGTTACCTTAGCTAATAAGGAATCATTGGAATCAATGACTGGATTAGTGAAATTACTTGGTTCAAATAAATTTCGTGAATAAACAGCTATACGGATCATAACCCCCAAAAAAGTGCTTTTAAAGAGAAATGTTACTGAAACAATTCTTTTGGGTAAGTAAATAGAGAATGAATTAATAGTACTAATTGTTAATCCTGTTTTGATTCAATAAGCATTTTTGAGCACCAATTACATTTAAGGCAGGAAGCTGGATGGTAGAGCTAGGAAGACTCAGAAGCCAAAATTCACAGCTTTTCCAGCAAAGGAGGAAAAAAACCCTAGAGAGGTGTATCAGTTAGTGTCCCATGGGTCAGGGTATGAACAGTGGATCTATAGAAGTAGAAACCTACTAGTTACAGTAGTCCTCCCTTACCTGCTGGGCAACATTTCAAGATCTCCAGTGGATGCATTTTGTGTTATGCGTTAACAAAACCAAACTCTTCATAACACCCAGTGAGGAACAGAATATTGAAGAAAGTATTTCCTCCTGAAGGTAATACACAAGAGACACTAGGAATGTTTATGTGATGGGTGAGGACCAAGCCCAGAGAAATAGGTTGTGGTATACAAGGGTGGGACGAGACATAAGGAACCACATTTTACAAGAGATAGCACAGGAGGGGTTGTAGAAGTGTTTCTTGACATGGCTTACAGCTCTGAATCCGGAGGTCTGGGGTGAGACTGGAAATCTGCATTTTGTTTAATTATAAATTAAATTGTATGTTTATATAAATTACAATTATATATTCACAATGGATGCATTGGGCAGTATTCTGAAGCATCTGATGTCAAAAGTAAATAACACTTTGTAAGACCCTTTTTCTTGGTGCGGTAACTGACACCTCATGTATCAATTTGGAAGGCAAAATGTTTAGTTACTCTTCATGAACATCATTTCCTTGAGTAAACTCTTTAGCGTTTCCTCAAGATCTACAGATGCATATCATATATGTCATCACCTTTCTGCTTAAATGGAACTCTATTCTTAATATTATGAGTCCTGCTTCTATCATATTGTCTTCTGACTGTTACTTCCCACAGCAATGCCAGACCACACATATCTGCCTCTTTGAACAGCTGCATACTATTCTGTTGTAAGAGTATTCCGTAATATATTTAACCAGTCCTCTGTCAGTGGGTCATTTTAATATTTCCAGGGTTTGTTTGTTTTTTGGGTTTGTTTGTTTGTTTTTTTTTTTTTTGCTATAACATTTCTGAATAGACATCCCTGAGCAGACCTCTGTGCACAGTTGTGTAACTGTAACTGAAATAGAACTTCCAAGATGCAGTCTGTCACTAGACTTGGGCGATATTGTCTGAAAAATGGTAATTACGCGTTTATTAAAACTCAGCAGGGTTTGGCAGCAGAAAGGACACTCACGTTTCATAATTGCTTCTTTGGCAACCCATGACTGCTACCAGAGCACACACATCTCCCATGCGGGATCTTGTCTTAATCATCACTGAATATCCAGCCTATAGCAAATGCCTAATACAGAGAAGTTGCTCAATAGGTATGTGAGGACAAAGTGAATGAGTAAATTCTGTTCATAGTCTTAATCTCTGTGATTGACTCGATACGTGACCTTATATAAATTACTGACTCTTTCTGGGCTTCAGTTCCTTCTTCTGACAAACAAATATAAATCCTAGCCTGACTGCCCCAAAGATTTGGCAGGAAGAACAGTAGAATAATAAATTTGATAGTGACTTGAAAAAATAAAACATTCAGAAAATTCCCATAATCATTGTCAATATGCTTTTAATAAATAACTTCTTTTGCAGGGCATAGAATATTGGAAATGTTGAGTATGTGATGCTAACTACAAGTGTAAAATAGAGATCAGAGAAAAGCAATAGTCTTTGGGAGAAGGGTATTGGCTAATGAATTATTATCTTAACTTTATTAGTATCAATGTCAGTATCATTATGATACTGATACTTAAAGCTTCCAGGTGGAAAGGTGCTATTGACTATAAAAGTCACATACTCAATATTTTAAGTTTTATGCTTTTTTCCTCCCATCGGCTTATTAATTTTTATGTACATACCAGAAACCTCCTGATGCTTCGGAAAGTCTTAGGTGTAATTTTAGTTCATTGAGTTTAATTCATCAATAGTATACTCAGGGGCACCTGGATGACTCAGTTAGTTAAGCACCCGACTCTTGGTTTTAGCTCAGGTCATGAGCTCAGGGTCATGAGATTGAGCTCCACGGCAGGCTCTGTGCTCAACACTGGATCTGCCTAAGATTGTCTCTCTTCTTTTCCTCTGCCCCTCTCCCCACTCATGCTCTCTAAATAAATAAAATCTTTAAAAAAATTTTTTAATAGTATACTTAGACAAATGATAGACAAATATTCATATCTAGATTTGGACACATACAAAATGTTATCAAACTTCAAATACATTGCCAACCTGAAAGAATCTTTTGAGTCCTCCAGTCTTTGCCTTTTATGTGGGAATTGAGGCAGATAGGCACAGTAAACATAGAGGAGAAGGAATGAAGATTTTGGAGAAAAAATTGAGGATCAAAAGGAAGAAAGCTGATATCTTTTAATGCAGTGTTTATATTATATTTGTTCATTTTATTCTGTTTCCCTGCAGGTTTAAATGTGTATTTGGCTACTTGGCTACTGATTAGAGAACACAAAATGAATAACTCAACAAACTCCTCTAACAGTGGCCTGGCTCTTACCAGTCCTTATAAGACATTTGAAGTGGTGTTTATTGTCCTTGTGGCTGGATCCCTCAGTTTGGTCACCATCATTGGGAACATTCTGGTCATGGTCTCCATTAAAGTCAACCGCCACCTCCAGACCGTCAACAATTACTTTTTGTTCAGCCTGGCCTGTGCTGACCTCATCATTGGTGTTTTCTCCATGAACTTGTACACCCTCTACACTGTGATTGGCTACTGGCCTTTGGGACCTGTGGTATGTGACCTTTGGCTAGCCCTGGACTATGTGGTCAGCAACGCGTCCGTGATGAATCTGCTCATTATCAGCTTTGACAGGTACTTCTGCGTCACAAAACCACTCACCTACCCAGTCAAGCGGACCACAAAAATGGCAGGTATGATGATTGCTGCTGCCTGGGTCCTCTCCTTCATCCTCTGGGCCCCAGCCATTCTCTTCTGGCAGTTCATCGTAGGGGTGAGGACTGTGGAGGATGGGGAATGCTACATTCAGTTTTTCTCCAACGCTGCTGTCACCTTTGGTACTGCCATTGCGGCCTTCTATTTGCCTGTGATCATCATGACTGTGTTATACTGGCACATATCCCGAGCCAGCAAGAGCAGGATAAAGAAGGACAAGAAGGAGCCTGTGGCCAACCAAGACCCAGTTTCTCCCAGTCTGGTACAAGGCAGGATAGTGAAGCCAAACAACAACAACGTGCCTGGCAGTGATGATGGCCTGGAGCACAACAAAATCCAGAATGGCAAAGCCCCCAGAGATGCTGTGACCGAAAACTGTGTCCAGGGAGAGGAGAAAGAGAGCTCCAATGATTCCACCTCCGTCAGTGCCGTTGCCTCTAACATGAGAGATGATGAAGTCACCCAGGATGAGAACACAGTATCTACTTCTCTGGGTCATTCCAAAGATGAGAACTCTAAGCAAACATGCATCAAAATTGTCACCAAGACCCAAAAAGGTGATTTGTGTATCCCAACTAATACCACCGTGGAGCTCGTTGGTTCTGCAGGTCAGAATGGAGATGAAAAGCAGAACATTGTAGCTCGCAAGATTGTGAAGATGACTAAGCAGCCCGCCAAAAAGAAGCCTCCTCCCTCCCGGGAGAAGAAAGTGACCAGGACGATCTTGGCTATTCTGTTGGCTTTCATCATCACTTGGGCCCCATACAATGTCATGGTGCTCATTAACACCTTCTGTGCACCCTGCATCCCCAACACAGTGTGGACAATTGGCTATTGGCTCTGTTACATCAACAGCACTATCAACCCTGCCTGCTATGCACTTTGTAACGCCACCTTCAAGAAGACCTTTAAACATCTTCTCATGTGTCATTATAAGAACATAGGCGCTACAAGGTAAAACATCTTTGTGGAGAAGGAAGGTGGTCAGGGGAGCTTGGGAGAAAGAAAGGGGATGAAAGAGCTCCCAGTTTTAAATTCTCTGCCATTGCACTTTATAGTCTTATTATGGAATGTGCAATTAAGGAGCCTAACAGTGACACTTTTATTGTGCCTATGCTCCAGTTTGAGAAACCCGCACCTTATAAACGCTGTCAGTTTAGGAGCAGTGAGACCATGAAAGAGACGTGTTGGAATTGTGGATTTAAAGGACAATCTACGCTTTCTTGTACTCTCTTGAAGAAGGGCTTCTGAATCTACGATTTTATCTCCGCACAAGAAGACTAACCTCGCTTTTTTTTTTCCTTTTTTTTTTTTTTTTTGTTGTTGTTCCTGTGTGTCCATACAAGGATAAAATGCCACAGTTACAAGCTAACATGGAGACTTACACATAAGGAAATAGGCATCACACAATGGAAAAGTGAAGAAAGAGAGTCAAAACAGGATGTGGAAAGATCTCCAGAGTGCTAAGCTGTATTATTCTTTTGTTACAGTTTTATTTGGAGAGTTACAACATACTAAATGCTCTTTTCCCCTCACCTTTCCCTTTTCCCACCATCAAAAGAAAGCAAACAAACAAAAACCGTAACTAGATCATATCATTATTTTTCTCATTATAGCATCGGCTTTTGTACTTCCCTGTTTTACATTGTGTAAGGGCAAAAATCTGCAGGACTTCCACTAAATACAACCAGACACAGCCATGAAAATGGGCCTTTCACCCTTGCCCACTGTGTCATTTGCATTCTTTGGGCGTATAAAAGCCTATAATCATTTAGTTTGCTTATGATCCTTTAGGTGAAATGTTTTCACCAATCGGGTTTTCTCCTAAACAAGCTCCTTTTATGAATGGAATAGCCTACCTAATACATAAACATGCTTGAGAAACCAAAGTCATTTTTTAAACTGAGGTTTTGTCAAATTAAATAGTAGTCCTTTTTAGTTGGAGGAAGTTTACCGAGGCCAGATGAATTTTGAAAAAGGCAAATCGAAGGCTGAGAGGGCATTCCCTTTCAACCGGAATTTGCCTGACCCATGTATGTAATGCTAACTTGAAAAACATGAACTTCTGGCCTTTGTCAGCAGGACGAAGCTACTTTACTCGTTTAGAATCCTAAGTAGGATTAACGTACTCTTGTGGCACCAGTGACTTCTGGGTCAGTCCCAAGAGAATAAGGCCTTCTCTTCAATGCCGGTTATCAAGTGATATTCAATTCATAGTCAAATGAGATTGTTTATAGCCATCCCGTGTCCCATTGGAAAAGAGAAAGTCATTAAAAAACATTTCCCGAAACCACCTGTTCCATCTTCCTCAAATTGTCAATTCTCCCTAAAATTTTGTAACTTCAAAATTCTGTCCATAGAAGTATAGTAATCTTTGTGGCAGCCATGTAGCAGATAACAAATGGAGGCCACCTGAGATCAGCAAAATCTGAAGAATCAGCTGAATTTGCTGAAAATCAGCAAAATCGGTAGCTGTGCCTGTGTCACTTCTCATTATTTCTTTAGTTCTAGACCATCAAAAGTCAGATCAGGAACTATTACCCAAATAGTAGCTTTATATAGACTCTTGTCTATGTAAAGACTTTTTATTTGGTATGCCTAATAAATATATGATTGTGTTGATTCACATTTAGCTATTTTTTAATCCCTCAACTTTTTTTCTTTCTGTATGTGCTATAGTCTTAAAATCAGATTTTCTAAAGATGGCCCACTCAATAGAAATCAAATTTGTAAAACCAACTTCAAATTTCCTATTTCACATTTTAGATCTATGGGCCTTACGATATCTTGGCCAGTAATATACATATGAGTAGCGTGATTAATTTTTCAGTATTAAACCTTAGCACTTTAGAGTGGTTTTGTGTGACTTGCCTCATCGAAGGCATCTCAACAATTTTGAGAGTTTAAAAAAAAAAGCACAAGATAAACAACAACAAAAAAGAAGCATTATTAAGAAGCAAATTGCCAACAGTAGTTGTGTGTAACTTACCCTTTATAAAAATAACTTCTGTTCGAATAACTTCAGTCATTCCCCCACAAATCTCCTGGGTATAAACATACACCATCAGTTAATACAGATTCCTTTACTCCACAGTTACTGAGATGTTTACAATTTTAAATCCACATTAACTTTTATTTTATTTCTTCAAATCCGTGAATCAGTTGAATGGAAGGGACATCAAGCCAATGGGCTCTTTGGTTTGCTGTACATGAAACAACTGACTGGCTGAATATTTCACTTACTAACTTGTCCTTTTATGCTGTAGATTCAGCTTTAGTTGGGACAAACTCTTTGGATTCAAGGATTCAGGAGTCTGGATTTGGGTCTTTTCTGGTCCACTCTAACAATTCAACTCACAGTGAATCAAACTGCTTCTTGCTCTTCATTGCCATTGTACCCTTCCCTTCCTTCTTTCTGTTCTTGGTCTTCGCCATAGCCACCACAACCTTGCTGAAAGAGAAACCATCACGCATCACAGCAAAGATGTGACTGTAGACTGACACATCATGGAAACTTTGCCAACTGGAATCAGAGAAATGGAAAAAATACTGAACATGGTAGATGATTAGAAAGACACAGAGGTTGTATTCAAAGGTTTGCATTAACTGTTGCTGGATTTGTCTATTTCAGTGGCTCTCACACAGGAACAATGTTGCACCCCCAGGGACATTTAACAATGTGTGGAGACATTGTTGGTGGTCACAACTTGGGGGGAGCTAAGGACATCCTGGTAGATAGAGGCCGGGGAGGCTGCTAAACAGCTCACAAGGATAGCCTCCCCCTCACACATACAACTAAGAATTAACAGCTCCAAGTGTCAATCATACCAAAGTCGAGAAACCCTGGTCTATTTTAAGGAGTTCTAGAGCTTGCTTCGTATACATGGCAAAATAATCCTGTATCACTATAAGAATATCACTGCAAATTGCTCACCTGTTTCAAAAGGTAATGCTCACCAATTGTGTATCAGACATACTGTCATCCATGAGTCTGGTGTATTTGTAATTCACAGATTGGGAACACAGGGGACATCAACATATCCAGAATTACCAGACCGTGCAATAGCACATTGTCTCCAACATCTTCATGTCCCATTACAATTGTCACAGAGTCCAGTCAACTGAGGTTGCTGCTAATTGGCCATTAAAAGGATTGCAGTTGATGTGGTCAGTTTCTATTGGAGCTGCCACTTTTCCTTTCAAAAACATTGAGAGCCTCTTTCAGAAACTATATGATTCACCTCCTTTATTTTCACTGGGAAGGTGAATATCTGTCAAGAATTTCTTCTCTCCTCATAGCAATAATGTAAATATTCCAGAGTGGTCTTACAAGAAGAGGAGATTAAGAATGTCAAAAAGCCAGTTCATTTCTTTAAAAAAAAAAAAAAACAAAAAAAGAAAGAAATGATTCCCCTTTTACCAGTCGAGTTAATTAATAATTAAATAATTAAACCGTTAGAACAAAGTCACCAATATAATAAGTCACATGGAATAAGCGTTCCCATTTGAATGTGGAAGCTGGAGGTCCCACACACTTCTGCTCTTTATCCATTTACTGCTTTTTTGATCCTGGAGATCTGACACTGGGGAGGACAGAAGTTGAAAATGATGGTGACATACACGTAAAAATGCAATCTACTTTTATTTTCTCCTACGTAGTTCACTGGTAGTTGCCTTTCCCCAGTTTGATGACACCCCTTTCAACAACCACAGCACTGGTGTTGCAAATAGATTAGGGAAGCACCCAAAGCTGGATGAATTGTGCAAAGTGTATTTTCGGCATGTACATACAATACCATGCTTCTTAAATATGCTTCTTTGAAAAGAGTGCACGCTGCAGCATGAACTGTGTGCATATTTAATGTATCTTTCTGGAATATGCTGTATGCTTCCTATACATATTCTATAAATAAAGTAATGAACTGTATCATAGAAATACATATTTCTGTATGCAAATAAATATATTATACACAAAATCTTAATATGCAGTATGGTATATGTTGCTTTAGAGAGTAACAACACTAGATTTTATATGCCCAATTTTTTTAATTGCTTTTGAAGGAAGTACTTGCTTTTGAAGGAAGAGGTTTAGGAACAGCCAAAATCCTACCCATATTACTATTAAGCTGTTTTATAATCTTTGAAAGCATGGCACTGATTTTAAATATCTCTTGGAGGAATATATTAATAAATCTTTGCTGGTGTCAGCCCACGTGACGAGAATGCTCTTTGCTCCTATGCTCCCGACTGGCCTGTGACTAGAATCTTTCTGGCTGTTACTGTTCCAACAGCTGTGTTGATCTCACGTCTGATTGCCTGATGAGATTGCAACCGATTCATTGACATACAGCTTTGCTCTCCTCCAAATTAACTGATTCTTGTCAAATAAAAAATAATCATACAAGGAGGAAAGGATGACCTTCAGAATGTTTTTATTCTGAGAAGCAAGGTAAAAAAAAAAAAAAAAGTACAAGCACTGTATTTTATAAACCATTCTTTTTAGATTGAGTCCAGTGTAGCATTCCATACATTAAATGTCAGAAATTTCTAGTCTAGGATATTGCAGGTTTCTCCAAGAAATGATGAAATAGGTGGTTTGTTTCTGAATGCCCTACATTTTCTCCATAGCACCTTCTCTTCCTCTCCTTGTTGCCCACTCAACTACCCACATTCCCTGGAACATTTTCCGTGGCTCATTAGCCTGAATTCCTAGTTAACAAATACTGTAATGATTTTAGTTGATATGGGGCATGCCATCCCAAGAGACACTTACATTTTAATAAAAAAGTAGGAACACTGAACATCTCCAAGATCCCTATATTAGTCTTTATTTACCAAGGTTGGCAGTGGGAGAAATGATTTTCAGTGAATTTTAGTTTTCTGTGCAAATCTTGTAATATGCGTCACCGTCTGTCCACTTTCTAAATTTTACCTGTTATGTCCCAATCCACCTTGTGCATTGTTGTCTCTTATCTGAACCAGAATCATTTCTAGAAAAACAAATGAAATAATTGAGTTTTTCTACGAATTCTCATTAGTTTATTGGTCCAGTGAAATGTTCTCATTTCATTTTTTAGAAGTTGAGTGAATACCTTCTCGATGGATTATCAAATGTTATTGCTGACTAGGTGGTTGCAAACACTGAGACAGGATAAACCTTGCCATCATAAAGGAAGAATTTTCCACGTTATAACATGTATCAGTCTCTTTCAATCAAAAACTGAAGAAACAGAATGTGGTAAGTTGTGTAATATAGATATTAAATAAGTGACATCCTATAAAATCTGTACTTTGGCTTCCTAAAAACACACACAGTAGGTCATGGGAAATTACAGAGCCTAAAAAAGCATCCATCTTCTGAATTTGCACCATTTACCCAGGAGCTCACCCAAATCCTTCAACTGTACCTGTACTGGAAATGTGCATTTCTTCAGAGATTTTATCGAAGGAATTTTTTTTTTTTTAGAATGAGTATCCTTTTTAAAGTCATTATTATTAGATAATGAAGTTATTATTATAAGAAGGATGGGGCCTAGTGAATGAATTGTGTGTCTGTGTCCAGGGAGAATGACAGTGGGTTGCAGAGGTGGCCAGTTCAAATCTGGATTATAGTTGAACTAGTTGTACAAAAAGACAAACATGATTCCCTCTATCCTCAAAGTAATTTTCTTCACATTGTGAGTCCTGCTGTCCTTACTGCCTTTGTATGTAGCGCAGGTGCCCACATTCGTGATGGTGTGAGTGTCTTTGCCAGGACCATATTATATTTAGCCACAGGTCAGTTGTTCTCAAACTCCAGCCTGATACAGAATCACCTGAAGATTGCTGGTCCCCATCAGTAGGTCTGAGGTGAGGTCTGAGAATTTGCTCAAGTACCCCAGCAATCCTGGTGTGAACCTCCCTTTGAGAATGACTACTTCTTATAGTCTAATGAAAAATGTCACCAAAGCATTATGATAATTAGCAAGACATCTGTTACAGACAGTGAAAACTTTACATTTAAAACACTAGCCACAGGGGAGAATTTTTTTTTCTTAGACATCAAGTTTGTTGCTTACTTACAAATTGGCTGTTCATATTTTCTGTCTTTTGGGAAACTTCTAGCACCATGATCTCAATGCCAAAGATTAAAAATAACCATATTGAGGGGCACTTGGGTGGCTCAGTGGGTTAAGCCTCTGCCTTCAGCTCAGGTCATGATCTCAGGGTCCTGGGATCAAGCCCCGTGTCGGGCTCTCTGCTCAGCAGTGAGCCTGCTTCCTCCTCTCTCTGCCTGCCTCTCTGCCTACTTGTGATCTCTCTCTCTCTCTGTCAAATAAATAAATAAAATCTTTAAAAAAAAATAACCATATTGATAAGTTTACTTGAAGAACCATTAGCATATTAAAGGTTAAAGATAAATATAGCAGAAACTTGAATTCTGTGATACCTCCAATAAAAAGTACTTTAAAATACATTTTTATATTGTCTCATATATTTTTGCATAGAATATATATGCAAACATTCTCCTCATAGGAGTATTCAAAATGAATCATTCCATTATTTTGTTTAGAAGTAATGTTCAGTAAAAAATATTTGCTTTTGAAGGAATTCTTCAACCTCTTCTTAACACACACACTCTGGCACATAAACAGATATGCACACTCACATAAACACATAAAATTCACACAAACAACATATACATGCATATAAACACAAGTTTCATCTTCTATATCTTGACAGCGCCCAGAGGCATAATCTTTCCACGACTTTGAAAAGCATTTGGAAGTCTGCTAGAGAAGACACTGAACTCAGGTCAGCCAGGTACTAAAGAAAAAATTCGGTATTATGGTTGCAGAATGTTCTCAAAGCTGTTAGGATCAATACATTTTAGCTTTGTGTCTTTCACCAACACATCCCAGGCATCTGAAGACAGTCTCTCCGTAGGAAGCAATTACATGAACTCATGATGAGAAAACACCCGAAATCTACCATAACCCCTGGAAGACATATCTACAAATACATATCTTCATGATGGGTACCCCCAAACACTAAACCACTATACAATATGGTGCTTTCAATATCAACCAGACTACCTAGAGAGCTGCGTATAAGAAAAAAGTAATGATTTTGCAGCGCATTTCTTCCAAAATCCATTCTTTTTAGGTTTATAGCTCTTCATACCTGAGGATGGTATAAAAACACGAGTGATATTTACTCTGAATATGCAACAGATGATCGAACAGCTCAAATATCTGCTATCCTGAAAAACAAACAAGAAACCAGGAACGCAAGTCTCATCTTGCAGAAAAAAAATGAGATTACCAAGCTGATTATGTTTGCTTTTCTTGGGATCCTCCCCCATTCTGTTTATTAATGAAGAAGCATAAGAGATCATTTAAAGCCCAGATATTAAATGGCTGAATAAAACTATTTTATTTTTTCTCAACCCAATTGGGTAGCTTAACCTACATGGAAATAATAAGCTGAACAACCTTGTATTGAAGCAGAAAAGATAACCGTAAGGATAAAATTAAGAATAAAATAGGAGCATTACAAATATGATATCCCAATGAGGAAAAAAACTTAACCCCCAAGCTCTCTCAAAGAAATAACAATAACCCAAGTTCTTTCTCTATTTTTTGTATAATCTTTTCCTTCATCTCTTTTTAGTATTTTTGCTAAGGTCTTTACTATTGTTGTTTTAAAATTAATTTTTTAAATGTTCTGAGTGTCAAACACAAAAATTGATGTTTCCCTAGAGCTTGATTTTAATTTTAGTTGATATTGCTACTCCAGAAATCAAAAGGTATTTAAAAAAATAAAGTTGCTTATAATGACACGTGTTTTAAATATCAAAACAAACAACATAGCAAAAATCTGGACAAAGGTCAAAAATATGGCTTTAAATGAAAAAAAAAACAAAAACAAAACTGTGTACTAGATGGCTTTCAAATGTAATTATTTCCAAAGAACATGGCATTGATTTCCTCTGTAGTCTCATAGGCCTCCCCAGCACCATTCACAGCATGGTGGTTGTTGGCCCTTGGTCACCCTGAGAAGAGCTCAAGACATACCAACATTCTGTTTGAAACCAGGCCCTGTGGGAACGTGAGTGGCATGATCATCAGCTGGGAACTTGTCATGATTAAGCATCAGACCTAAACTAAGCAATGCAAACCTATTAAGTCCGAGTTGAGCATTCTGTGTGTGAGAAACCACAGTTTCACAAACTTGAGCACTGAGGAAGAATAAAATAATTGGAAGTTTTACACATGATGGAAAAGGGAGCTAAAGCTAATGTAGGTACCCACATCTGTTAGGAAGCCTATTGTAACAGACCCTTCAGCAGATTCCTTGGCCGTGTACACGTGAAATATTTTATGTCACTGAA